ATTTTGGGTGGCTTAATCTGGGTGGGATAAGTAGACGAGCGGGTGTAGTAAAGGTCTGGTCGGAGTCCACGGCAAGGTTCACGACTTCGTCAGCCGGGAAGAGTAGCTGAGAGAAACCGGGGCCCTCTGTCACCGCCAAATGGTCCCCCTCGAACCCACCATTTTCCGCCATTTTCATTTCAGCCCCACCGAACCCAAAAGCTTTGAGCTTTTTAGTGAGAGAAAGTTAGAGAGGGAGAGAGTGATAAAGGGGGTTTTAGGAGAAAACAACGGAAGCTTCTTGTCGATAAGAGAGACGCAGAGAGAGAGGGTGCTCTGTTTTTGTTCTATTGGTCTATGGTTGTGAGTGAGAGTGTCTGCACTGTAGAGAGAGAGAGAGAGAGAGGATGGGTGGGCTAAGAGGAAGGGAAGGGAGTTGCTTTGGTTTTCGGGGACCCTTGGTCAAACCCACTGGGCCCGAGAAAACCGTGGTTTCGAGCTCCAACGCGGTGTTGCCTGACCCCAAAACTCTCAAACGTTTCGTCTTTCGTCACCTTTGTCAGAACTTCAAGTCAGAGACTCAGAGAGCATTACAAGCCAATGGACCAGCTTCGCCTATGACTTCCCTCCATATATACTAGCAGATGAGCATACATTTAATATGTGTGAATAACTGTTCATCTTCTTTCACGTTCTTTTTAAGCGCAAGCACATTAGTTCATTTAAACTATCTAAAAAAATCATGATTTCACTTACGTATATAAAAAAATGATGTCAGACAATTTATCTTAATAAGTGCATATTTTTTATCTTAAGTAAATATTTCGATATAAAATTACTATTTTACCCTTATATAAATATTGTGTATTAAAAGTGAGGGTAAAATAGGAAAAAGGTGAAAAAAAGTTCAAAAGATACAAAATTACTATTTTGCCCTCCTCATGTCAACATTGTGTATTTAAAAATGAGGCCAAAATTGAAAGAAAAAGGGGGGGGGAGGCAAAAAGTAAACAAGCCATCTTCTCTTAATAGAATAGATACATAACGAATGTGATCTTAGAGGACTTCCAGTATTGGAAGGCCTCCAGGACAACTGCTTATTAAATCCCTTTTAATGAATAGTAAATATATTTAATAAACAATAATTGTTTTTTGTATCTCCACTCCTAAACTGAATAGCCATGACAATGGTCAATAAAATATTAGTATTTTTTATTTTATAAAATAATTTTATTTGTAATTTTAGATAGGATTTTTAATCGGTCTCGTTGCGCCACGTGTCATTAAATAAGAAATTACAACCCAAAGTATTTGAGAAAGTATAAATTTGTGGTGTAAGGTAGAAGATAATGATAAGATATTTATAATTATATTAACACCCCACAAATTGTTGAATAAACCTGACAAACTTAATACACCCCACATTTGTCACAACCTGTCCCAAAATTATATTTATTGACGGTGTGAAATGACGGAAATACCCATGGACGTTAAATTGTGTGATGTGGTCTAGGTGTTGTGCATGGATCATTATTCTCAAATTCTAATTATTTTGGACCAATTAGGATTAGGTATATTATGTGTTTTGGATTGTTGACCAATTCTAGGCCACACACCCACATCCACATCACCCTCTCTCTCTCACTCCCGTACTCTCCCTCTCGGACTCACTCTCTCCTCCCTCTCCTTAATACGGACAAGGTCAAACCATGCAAAATCTTCACGGATCGTGGCCAAATTTAGTATCATTGTGTTCGTGAGGACCATACGGGTTCAATGGTACCCATTTCAGGACAATCCAAGCTTATAGCGAACTTAGTGAGGTCCCAAGGAAGCTCAGAGTGCTTCGTTTAAAGGTTTTGGACGTCCGGATCACGAGGTTCGAAGTTGGCCGGTTTTGGTGAAATTGTCTCGACGAGTTTTCAAAGGATTTGGAAGTTTTAAAAGGTGAGACTTATCCCGAAGACGAGCGTATCCACGGGCGAATCGGGGGGGCTACGACCCTTCTACTTATTAGTGAGTGGGCTTTTGTTTTCAGTATATAATTATATACTTGATATAATTCCCAGAAATGTGTTTTAAATGAAAATATGCTTTGAAATAATATGTCAAATGCCATTATATTTTGAATATGCATTTCATGGTTGCATATATATATAATTGTGGTGCTGTGGAGGCACAGGTAAGTACAGGTAAGTTATGTTTGGTATATGTGAACTACGAACGGCTTGATCCCTGTTTAGGGTACGTAGGCAGCCTAATGAAATGTTAGGTGCAGCCATACAATATATGACATGAAATAATTGAGATATAAGTTTATTTGAAGAATTGAATAGCGCGATGAACATGTTTGGTTGGATATATGAGATGTGACTGAGAAACGATGAGCTCATAAACTTGCACCTCGGGTGATTGCGATTTAGCCAGAGAGAGTTGGCACAGGCCTGTATATTATGTCACCTCCCGCACCATATGCTCACATTGTATCCAATTTAGATGCATAGTCTTGTCGTACAGACCACTATAGGTGGTTCCGACTCGTAGGTGACTAACATATTATCGCACAGCTAGTATTGAGAAAGTAGAATTGAGCATAACTGTATCTCACCCAACCTTGTCGTACAGACCCTTTTTAGTGGTTCCGACTTATGTGCAGAGTATTGCCGTATAGGTCATAGTAGTGACTCCGGCTAGATTGAATTTGAGCTATGAATTCAGCCGTATAGACTACTCAGGAGTTCCGGCTAACATGTCATACTTCTATGAAATCATTATTACCTGGATTGTTACTTATTATATTTTGGCATGGCATACATATGAAAATGATTATGAGAAGCATGAATTGAATGGTTATGATTTCATATATGTATGTATGTATGTATGTATGTATATGCTTACATCTTGATTTTGGGAAAATTTTACATGTTTTACAGCGAGGGGTTAGATATGTTGATAAATGAAATGATTTTGTAAAACATTTGTTTTTGCCCACTCACGTTTTCTGTTTTGCGCCCCTCCAGGTTTTAAGTAAGATTGTTGTTGGTGGCTAGAGGACGTCGACAGTTCTGACTTATCCATATAAGTAGGACATTCCTGGTACTGCATAATTAGTACTTGTCCTACTGGACTGCACCTAGACTTTATGCTCTGACTAGGAGTGTTACTGTTGTACTTAACTCCTACCATTTTCTGTTTAGAAGTGCACACTAGTAATATGGTTTTTAATTATTCGTATGTTTGCTATATTTATCGCTTCCGCACTGTGCATATGGCTACGTCACTCTCACGTGACGGCCAACATACCTTGACCTCGGTTAGGGTGTGTCACATTTGCTTTTTCAATTAAAAATTATCTTAATACACCCCACTTACTTTCCCATAATACCCCCACACCTCACATTCTCAATATACATCTTATATTTTGTACATACACTCCACATTTTATTTACACCCCACATTTCTCAAATCTTATAACACTCATTTTTAATTTTCAGGGATTGAATCTAACCATATGAACACTAAAAGATGAATATGAATATAGAAGTTTAAATAATGCAGCAAACACAAGATTAAATAATTATCGATGTCATCGAAATCACTAAAAGAATGAAAACTATGAAGTCTTACCTCATGTGAAACTCCTGAAACATCGATTTCGTGTTCCATTCGTCAAAAACAATTTTTCTTAATCAACATGTTTGATAGTTGAGAAGATAAATAATACGTTAAAAGTGATTTGGGGTGTATTTATAAATCTTTATTTTTTTTAAAACCTAATAAGGTCAAAATTGTCATTGCATAGTGGAGTAAATAAGTCATTTGACATTAAATTTTAATATGAGGTGCATTCAACATTTTGTGGGTGTTAATATAAAAACCCAATAGAAAAAATTAAATCAATTTTTTTTTAAATTCTTTAATTTTTTCAAAATTTTAATTAATTTTTTACATTTTTATTAATTTTTTAATGTGACTGACGTCAGCCTTGCATCAGCGCCCTCAGGCACTTGGGCCGTTGATTCCTGCCTCCCCTCTCCCACGGGCCCACCCCTAGCCCAATTGAGTGCATGGGCTGGAGCAAGGAAGGTTGGCTATTGGGTTTTTTTGGTCCCCTGTCCACCGAGCTATACCCTTCGGTGGACTTGCTCTTAGATTTACATATACGTACAAATTTTGGAGTGCACGTATGTCATGTACATATGAGTTTAACGGTTGATTGTCCGTTGAAATTTTTAGAGTTATTGTGCATTGAATTTTTTAAAGAGTTTAACGGTTGAATCTGAATCACTTACCCAATTCAAATTCTGAACATATTCTCGTACGTAAAAAGTATAGTACTGTTGCACTAAGAGTTGGTTAGAGTCACATATGTGATTACATAAGCATTTCTCTACCTTGTGACATAGCTACTTACATAAGGCAACTCTAACTAGATAAAGAAATACTTAAATAGTGTTTCCATGATGCAAAAATTGGCAATAATAGATAGGCTTTCAACAAAAGCATTATATTGTGTGTTAAAATTGCATAGAGCATCTCTAATGGTTAAATACTCTCCTACAATTTGCACAGAGCATTTGTGCAATTACCTGATGAACAAGCCAAGCCATCTTAACTAAAGGTTCGTTTAAAAATGCTTTTAAAATGACTGAAAATACTTTTCGAGAAAATATTTTTATTTTCAAAAGCACTTGAAGTGCTTTTTGCAACGTGCTTCTTCCAAGATTTACTTGCATTTTTATTAGAAATTGGTTCCAAAAACATTTTCACCAAAAGTTCTTTTAGTTTTAAAAGTATATCCAAACGAGCTCTAAAGTACAGAATTTTTATTGTCAAACACCCAACTTTTTTATTGTTGGTATAATTATTATCATTTTGGTACAAAACTCAGTTCAAATAGTAAATTAAAACATTATTCAGTACATAACTTGCCTGTCAAACAACCATAAAGAGAAACTAAAACTTGAAATGAAGTGATTAAAAACCCTTTCGGGCATTACATTGTACACTTGCCAGGTGGGCTAAGCAGAGCAGATTTTCTTCAACTTATTGGCTGCAGATTCGTCCACTGTGTACTGCCATTGAAAGAAACCCCAATTGGGTTCACCAGAAACTCACACGAAAGCGTCGAAAACACACAAAAAAAAAAAGAAAAAAAAAAAGACAAATTTGTGTACCTTGTTGAGGACCCAGAGGGAGTGATTGTAGGCCCTGAGGAAGAGCTCGTGGAGGGCTTGGTCATCGTTGGCCTCAACCTCTCTGTAATTGACGAAGTTCTCGCAGGCGTACTTGGCGTAGTAAGGTTGAGAGTCCTTTGGCAACCTCCTCACCAATCTCAGAAGTTCCGCGTAGATTTTCAATGCTTTATCCATTTCTCAACTTCCGACCCGCCGATCAGTGATCACCGTCTCAAAACCTTCCACAAAAACAAAAAGAGCTCTTGCTTGTTTGAATAAATGGGCCCTTGTTGATTGCCTAACAAATATAATGTGCTAAGTAGGGGCCGCTCTAAACAGTTATTTTTATGAGGCAACCAACCTAGAGCCTTTTTCAAGTACCGGTTATTCAAACGGTACTCCACATGTCATAATACAAGAGATGAAATGATATATTTTTTTCGTGTTCCTCCACTTATTTTATGACACGTGAAGTACTCCTTGAGCATCAGGCACTTTTTGGAAAAAGAATTCTCCAACCAACGAGCTGCTCCAACGAAAAAACTGCCCAAGACAAAAATGACTAAGAAATTTACACGATATCAGTTGTTTAAAACAACATGTCTATAGCACACATCATGTATTTAGCAATTTCTTCTCAGCCCTTTCCAGAGCTAGGGTCAGACAAACTAATCGATCCTTCCTGCCTGGAAGTTAATCTTCATCTGCTAAAGTAAATGGCAGATACCTCCATGAACTTGAATTAACGAATCTTATATTGGTCCTCACGTGAAGTGTGCAATAAGCCAAAGATTAATTGCATGGCATTATTTTTGTCCTGGCAACTTCTTTACCCGTTTAATTTGATGTTTATTTTATCCTTTTGCAAATACTGGCAGAACTGGTCTCCGCGATCGAATATATGAATCCACCAAGTTATATATATCCTTTCCTAAGAGGAACCAGCTGTCCATGCATAGAAAGTGTTGGATAGATAGTGCCATGATACGATTTTTACCAACTACTAAAATAGGGATAAAAACACTTGCAAGAGAATAAAGTAATTGTAGTATAAATGACTCAAGCAATATCGTTCTTCACATGAATTGATTGAATAATTTGTGTAAAAACCAAATCTTAATTAATTATTTGAAAACAAAGTTTGGAAAAGGTTGATTTTATGACCTAAAATAATAAAAACGAATTTAAATAAAAACAATATAAAGAAATCAGAAATGTAAAGAAAACAAAAGAAAAAAGTTTTAGAAAGCAATTTAAACACTAGAGTTCCACCATCACCACTAATAATCTCATGCAATTTTACAAATTACCTATGAATTTCCACAATACATGCTTTGAAGGTTAGGTTTTCCTAATACCTATTTTCCTCACGATGTTCAAGTGAAAACATATATCTAACATGCAATTCGTCTATGATGTTTAGATCAAATATAAACATGCAAAACCATGCAACCTTTTGAAAAATCATGCAACCCTTAAGAGGGTGATGTTCGCCTCAAGTGAATTTACAATTATTAATCACAAGAAGCCCTCCTTAATTTTAAGGTGATGTTCCAACATAAATTGCATTAAATTACTTGTCTAAATATCCTAATGGTCATGAATCACTAAGACCACTAGATAGTTTAAACACGATGATCAATAATTCAAAGCAAACATGCCTCCATTCATAAGCAAATTAATAAAATCACATATTCATGCTAAGGCACATGGCCTCACCCTAGCAAAAGGACTAGTTACACATAATCATAATAAAAACTAAAGAAAAATATCATTAACTAGAAAAAAGATTGAAAACACCTTGTAGGTAAAAAGTTTGAAATTCTCCAAAGTTTTGCTAAGTTCTCTTAATTATGTTGCGTCGAGAACCCTAATGACTAAATAACCTTATTTATACTATTACAATTAAAATCCTTGCTAAAAAAAGGTCTTCTAAAAACTAGGAAATATAATAGCAAATGGATAACTTAAAACACAATCCAAATCTAATAAGGAAATCTATCCAGCAGAGAAATAGCCACATTTCTAGACCTTCAAGGCTGCAAAACAGGCCCAAAACGACTTGAATTAAATATTAGGACCTCATCTTCAAGTTCCAAGAGGAGCCCAAGTCCAAAATCCATCATCTTCCACCCAAAAGTCTCGAATAAGCTTTACAACCAAATTTGTTGGGCATAAATTAATTTGCCATGATCAAATGCTTCGGGATAAAATTATGAAATTTTGACACAACCTTCTTGACAGACTCACGAACCTGCTCCAATTTGAATCACTAAAAAATTCCACCACTTGATTACTTTATGCCCAAAATGGATTCGCATGTCCTACATTGAAAATACATAACAATGCATCAAAATCTCACCAAAATAATTACTAAAATATACCAAGAATAGGAGAAAATATTGTAGACATCGAAATTTCAGTAAATAAATGTTGACCGATAAATCAAAGTTTCAACGCTCATGTATTACATAAATTTTACACGTAGCGTGTGTCTAACAAAAATCGAAATAAGTTGGAAAAGTCATCAAACAGGACACGTGTCAACACCTAGCAGAAACGACTTATTTCATCTGGAATATTATATTCAAAATTAGGCCTTAGAAATTTCTATAAATAGAAGGCTAATTCATTCATTTAGAAAGGGCAATGGATATTACACCTTGAAGCTCTGAAGCTCTGAAACCCCGAAGCTCTCAAGCATCCAGGTTCCCGAAGAATCAAGAAAGCCTTCTTCATTCTTTGTTCATCGTTCTTCCAAGATCAAGCCCCAACGGCCCTTTGGATCAACAATCATCCACCAATTCAAGATCAGCCTCGACGGCCCTTGAAGAAAGCCTTCTTCGTTCTTCGTTCATCGTTCTTCCAAGATCAAGCCCCGACGGCCCTTGGATCAACCATCCACCAATTCAAGATCAAGCCCCGACGGCCCTTGAAGAAAGCGCCATCGTTCATCATCCGTTCATCCAAGATCAAGCCCCAACGGCCCTTTGGATCAACAACGTCGACAAATCCGCACATCCAACCGTTCTTCAAGATCAAGCCCAAAAGCCCTTGAAGATCCGTTCATCACTGTTCTTCGAGATCAAGCCCAAAAGCCCTTGGAGATCCGTTCATCACTGTGCTTCAAAGATCAAGCCCAAAAGCCCCTTTTAAGATCCGCTCAAATCCACCTTCAAGATCAAGTCCATGGTCCTTGAAGAACGTTCATCCTTAGATCAAGCCCAACGGCCCTTTGGATTAATCACACATCCACAAATACACACCTTACGGAGATCGAATCAGAGGATCAAAATAGAGAGAGATTGTAACCCACAATCATCAAATACAAATATTTGTTTGTGCACGTTGTTCTTGTCTCTTTCGTTTCAGGAATTTTCCGTGTTCACAAATTGGCACGCCCAGTGGGACAATCTCTGCCTCTCATCTCTTTCTCCGTTCAAGGAATCCAAGCACTTCTGAAATTAATGGCATCAAGGAAGGCTCAATCTGTTCTCGCAACCGGCGCAAAGAACAAGAGCGTCATCGTCGCAGGTGGCGTCACTTTGGGCATCACGACTCGAAGCATGGCAAAAGCTAGTTCTGCCGCCTCTTTCACCTCTGCATCAACTCTGCCAGGGGAACAAGAGCACCCAAGGCATGAGCCTTTGATCACCTTAGCCTCATTAAGGGTACCAAGGGGGGAAAGACCAAGGGAATACTCCGAATCCATGCTCTCCGATGACGATTCAAGCGGCAATTCAGCCATGCAAGTCATGACCGCTGGAGCAACTTCAATCGATGAACAGCTTGCTCAAATGAATGAAGCAATTGCAAGACTAACTCGAACTGTGAAAGAAAAAGACTTGCAAATCGCAGCATTAGTCAATCGACTTGAGGCGCAGGACAGCGAGAAACCCGACCCAGAGGATGATCCACTAAAGGGAGGAGCTGGCGGAGACGAAGAACCCCCGGTAAAGAAAATCGATGGGAAGCCGAAACCAGACCAAGCAGCGGTGCTCAATGGATCTCTCTTTATCCAGCAGCTGCAGGAGATGATCACCAATACCATCAAGGCACAGTATGAAGGGAGCTCCCATACCTCCACGTTGTACTCAAAGCTTTACTCCAGGAAGATCGACGCCTTAAGGATGCCGAAGGGCTATCAACCGCCGAAGTTTATGCAATTTGACGGAAAAGGAAACCCGAAGCAACATGTCGCACATTTCGTCGAAACCTGCAACAATGCAGGGACGGAGGGAGATTACCTTGCTAAGTAGTTTGTGCGCTCGTTAAAAAGAAACGCCTTTGAGTGGTACACGGACCTGGAGCCCGAGTCCATCAACAGTTGGGAACAGTTGGAAAGGGAATTCCTCAACCTCTTCTACAGTACCCGCCGCACTGTGAGCATGCTAGAGCTGACGAGCACGAAGCAATGGAAGGAAGAACCAGTCATGGACTACATCAACCGATGGCGTAATCTAAGCCTCGACTGTAAGGACAGACTCTCCGAGATTTCTTCAATCGAGATGTGCATCCAGGGCATGCAATGGGGTTTACAATACATCCTTCAAGGTATCAAACCACGAACTTTTGAAGAATTAGCCACACGCGCCCACGACATGGAGTTGAGCATCGCCCACCATGGAAAGAAGGAGCCAATCACCGATTTCAAAAAGGATAAGGTGTTCACTTCAAGAGCAGACAATCATGGAAAAAAGCCCGCCAAGGAAGCTTTTACCACCAATACCACCCCTATCAAGACCTCGTCCGCGCCCGTCAAAATCTCTTTCAATAAAGCAAGGGAGATAAAAAAAGGTGAGCCTTCCCACACCCAAGATAGGTACAAGAACACCTTGAGGGAATTGGAGCAGAAGGTATACCCTTTTCCGGACTCCGACATGGACGCAATGCTGGACGACCTGCTAGAGAAGAAGGTGATTGAGTTACCCGAATGCAAAAGCCCTTGAAGATCCGTTCATCACTGTTCTTCGAGATCAAGCCCAAAAGCCCTTGGAGATCCGTTCATCACTGTGCTTCAAAGATCAAGCCCAAAAGCCCCTTTTAAGATCCGCTCAAATCCACCTTCAAGATCAAGTCCACGGCCCTTGAAGAACGTTCATCCTTAGATCAAGCCCAACGGCCCTTTGGATTAATCACACATCCACAAATTTGTGAACACAGAAAATTCCTAAAACGAAAGAGACAAGAACAACGTGCACAAACAAATATTTGTATTTGATGATTTTGGGTTAC